GCTCAATCCCTACTCCTACCCGTTTCGATCTGGTCGAGCATCGTACCGGCGTGCGGTCGTGTATCACGACTGCGTGGTGTCGTTAAAGACCCCAGGCTAGTGGTTGTACTGCACTGACTACACTGCTCACCTACAGCTGAGACACCAGACGCTCCTTGGGGCTGACTAACTTCCGGTTGTATAAAGATACAACACAATTACAATGAAAGTCGAAGATTCGTGTTAAAGAAGTGTATTATTATTTTAAAGCTCGCACGTGTCCCACTTTACGTTTTCGTTACGAAGTATCCACAGGCGTCTGAAGTCAGCAGGTTCGATCTAAAATGGACCGTAAAAATCGACACCTACACGAAGCAGTCTAAACGTTTTATCAAAGGTGCATTTCACAGACGAACGTCGTAAGTAATCCCTGACGAGGGGGAACAAGGAGGACAAAGGACAAACAGAAATCATCAAAACACACCTAGGTGGCTGGTGCGCAGCCGAAAAAAATCCGCCTGGTCCTGGTACCGAACCAGGGACCTCTATATCTCCACATGAGAGTTCCCTGGTTCCAGTGGAGGTCCCAGTTTTTTTGAGTCGCCCACCAGTCACCTTGCTGTGTTCTCGAGATTAGTGTTTGTCCTTTGTCCCCCTTGTTCCCCTTCTCCAGGGATTATTTTCGTCATTTTCGTCCAGCTCGCTTGCACCTTTGCATTGACTTCAGTATCATCGTATTTCACAGGTCTGTTTTTTCTTGTAAAATTACAAAGCATTGATTTTGTGGTCCTATCTGTAAAATATAGGACCACAAAACTTGCCAGGGTCAACGGCGGGCGTCGACGTAGACGACTGAGTCAAGGGGCGCGGCGCGTATGGCGCACGTATTGATAGGTGGGCCCTACCTCCTTATCGAGACTGCTCGACCGTGAGGTTGCGGGTTCCGATGACGCTTGTGCGCCTGATGCCACGACCCAAAGACCGCCCTCCCAAAGAAAAACCACAAGGGGTTCTATACCAATTTTTGTGTTCTGAATGCTGCGCGTCTTACATTGGCGAGACAGAGAACCTCCAGCAAGAAATTCTACAACACAAGAATGATATGCGAAAATTTGGCCGGGAGGGGAGTATTATTGTGGAGCGCTGTGACGACAACGACCACTGTATCGATTTCGACGACACCAGAGTAATGAGCGTTGTAATCAGCATCCGCCAACGACTTCTCTTAGATACCTGGCATATAGAGACTATGCCAGGAAATATCAATAGGCCGACAGGCACTTTAGCATCGGCGTATGTCAACGGGCTAGGGCACTCGAAGAATAAAAAGTGAGTGAAGCAAACGACACCACCGTAGATGGGAAAGAAGCTACTGCTCTTTACGTGCAAATAGTCGCTCCTAATACAAACTAAACAACAACAACAACAACAACAAAAAAAAAAAAAAAAAAAAACGAGTCGGTTTTGAAACGTCGGACTTCTAACTCTTTAGGACATCGTTGATAAAGGTCCGTATTTCTCTCGAAATTGATATAGTAAGACATTAGTCATTTCACGATTGGTGAGCAAAGAGGTACTTTTTGTGTCTTTACTGGCTGGTTTCCGACCGTACTTGATTTTTATGACGCGAACAGTGTACCCCTAATGCTATGACTTCAAGTTGAAAGCCGCAATATCGGTTCTCAAATTAAGAAGAAAAAAAAATCTAAGATAATAAAAGAAAAAAAAAAGAACGCACGTCTTCTCGTGCGCGAGGTTAATGCTTTCGGGCCTTTTTTATTTATTTTTTATTATCCGTTTGGCTGGAAAGCGCAGTGCACCGGGACCAGGCTGTGCCTGGGAAGACGCACTCGAAACCGCTGCTCCCGCTAACAAGCTCCCCTCTAGCCGGCGGCTGAGCGCGGCGTCTTTTCAAGAGGGCAGCTTCGCCGGCGGTATGCACAGACTCCGAATAAAAGCCAGGGTGGAGAGCTCCGCTGCACGAAGCCTCCGAGCGCTCCAGCGGAGTCGTCGTGGCCCCGGCCGACCCGCGTTTCGCGGGCCGCGAGCACGCACCGCCAGCCGCCCGGAGGCACACAGACACGAAACGAGGAAACTGAAGTGGTAGCCTACTATACTACGACTCGGGAACTGGAGTTGGAAACGCGCCGTTAAGGATTCTAACCAAAGCTATGAGACGCGAACGAGAGTGGAGAAAACGCAACTTAATTTTGATGCGCGGTTAACGATGACAATCATAATGAAGGGGGGGCGCGTTGTTTTGATGGGTATGATATAAATGATGACGACTGATTATGGGATACGCACTACGGGCTCACGCATGTATGACACTGCGCGATGCATTCGAGTTGAACAGGCGGGCAGAGCGGTGGGTGTACATTTCTCCTATAACCATGTGGCCTAAGCAGGGAATGGAGTGGATGCCTCTTAGTCACCGTGACCATCAGATCCTGATAACGATCCCCTATTGGTTGAACTTATTTAAAGCAAAAGCGAGAATCGGTGTTCCGAGTAATTTAGCGTCTTTTAGCGGCAACTTTCCGAGCCTCTGCGGCGGAGAGCACAACCTGTCGTGGTTTTAACCTTTCCCGAATTCATGCGAAGCGCCGGCTACTCCCTCTCTGCTCGGCGTGCGCCATGCCGTCGGCCGTTCTATAGTCGAGGGAACAAAGCCGCGAGGATCAGACGACAGCTGCGTGACCGGCTGTTCCGCTGTCAGCGAACCAATCGCGGCCTAAGAGACCAGCGGCATGCTTTATGCCCGCACCTAGGCGGATATGCGGGCAACGGCGGGTCATCGGATAACTCACTCCCTGAAGGGACGGAGGGCGACGACAAAGCCGTCAGGCTAGAACGGGAGACCGGAGACCGTGACGAGGGCGAAAGCATACATGTAGGCTCCATGGTCCGACTCGCTTTTACGGACTGAATATGCCTCCCTTTGTCGCTCCTGTCTAAACTATGCGCCATGTTCAGAGATTACCATATTCTAGAAACCTGAGACTGCGGTGAAGAAACGGAAATTATTGAGAAACGGAAAGGAGAGGCAAAAGAGGAGCGACAGACGTCTCAAATTGGGCACCTTAGGCTGAACTTGAAACATTTTCTGTCTACTTTCTCTTGCCTGTACCTTCCACTTCTGAATATTTTCGGCTCAGATTTTTAACATTAGAATAAACATTCACCATCTTGCCTTACGCTGCGCCCTTCACTGTTTTCTTGATCTTCAAAGAAACCGAGACCTTTTAGTATGGCATACTTTTCTCACGTGTCTCTTAGGCACGAATCTAGATTGCCTCAGTTGGAATTACATTTGACAGGTGTCGTGTGCGTTCGGGGAGTTTCTGGGTGCATGCTGCAACACCAAACACTCAGATCAGCATTATTAATTGTTTTTATGGCGAATTCCAGTGGTCGTTTTGGAGCGCGCCGTGATCGACTTTTCTGGAGCGATCCTATTTCACTGGGCGATCGGGATCGAGACGGACGTGTTCCACTGGTCGTTTTGGATTAGCTCCCGCTCCAGATCTCGATCTGGATCCCAGAAAAGTCGCTCCCACGATTTCGGCGGATTCAACCGGAAGCCAGCCGGGCCAGCCCTCGGCGCGCACACGTGACTTCCTTTCTCGAGGGGCATCTCGCCTGATCTCGCCCATCTCGCCTCAAAAGAATTCGTAATGGCCGCTCGGGAGGTGCCGCCTGTACCGCCCGCCTTACCCCCCATTCACACTGGAAGCGGATCCGCGTTCGCGAAGCGGTTGCGAAAGCGGTTGTATAAAGATCCAGTGCAAATGCACGCGCATTTGATGTCATCGTGTGCGCGTGCAATTGTACTGAATCCTTATACAACCGCGTTCGCAACCGCTTTGCGAACGCGGATCCGCTTCCAGTGTGAATGAGCCCTAACTGTTGCTGCAGCTTGACAAGAATTCGTCGTCAAGTTGCTCGAGCGGCTCCCGGCATTCCGGCAATCTTTGCTACAAGCTCCTGAGCCAATCCTGCCGCTCGTGCGTCGAACACGTGTTAGCGCCACGATTGCGAAAACGTCATCGAAACGACCGCGGCGGCCGCGGAAAGGGGATTCCCGGGCAGGTGAATGACGGGAAGGCATCCGCCGATCCCGGAGCAGTGGCCATGTTCAACTGGGGATCCGTAGGCGGCGCGACCCCGTTCGGATCGTGTGCTCCATACCGGATCTGGTCAACTGATCCCGGCGCGCTCCAAAACGCCCAGTGGAATTTACCATTAGTTGGATTAGCTATTGAGATAGTATTCGCTCCAGTGTTAGTGCAGTCTTGGTAGCACGAGGGGTCCACCCTTTGTAAGACCGAGATTTCGGGACCCTTAGAGTGTTATAGAACGCTCTCCTATCTCGCTGCCTAATCCTTTTGAAGGTGGACCAAGGCGTGGAGTCTCCCAGTGCACCGCGGGGCACTCCACATGCAGGCTCTTGTACGGGAGTGTCTGCACGCGAGGGAGTAAGCCGCGCTCACGTCTCGCACAAAAGCCACGGTTTTCGCTGCGTACATTATGACATCTGCGGACCTGCGTCAGGCATGTTCCAAGCGTGTTTGCTTCATACATGCTTTAACATGTCTGCAGACAGTTTCTGTATCACAAATGTGACCTACAAGGAAGGCCTGTCTGCAGTCTGTCTTTCGTCTAATGAGGCGGCAGTCAAATCAGCAATCATCGATGGTGTTTTAGGTAGATTAGCCATTGTGATGGATTTGCGCTTCTGTGCTCGTGCAGTCTTAGTAGCAAGAGCTGTCCACGTCTTGTGCGGCTGAGATTGCACGATCCCCGAAGTGCCATAGGCCGATCACCCATCTTAATGGCTAGTCTTTTTGAAAGTAGACCAACGCATGAGGTCTTCAGATGCACCGCAGGCCACTATACACATGCAGGCACTTGAGATTCCGGGAGTAGGTATCTGCACGGAGGAACTACGCGAAGATGTGCATTGTGGCAGAGTCTCAACAGCGCCCGTTGTTCTCCCTCTGCCCTCGTGCGGCGTGCAGCAACATGGGCCTGCAGGGCGTGGACGTGCTCCAGAACCCGCAGATGTACGTGCTGGGCTCGCAGCTGCTGTGCGGCCAGCTCCAGCTCGGCCTGTCCCGGGGTCAAACCAAGCTGTGCCACCTGTACGAGGACCACATGCCGCACGTGGGCCGTGGCGCCCGCCTGGGCATCGGAGAGTGCCAGCACCAGTTCAGGCAGCGCCGATGGAACTGCTCCACCGTCGCTGACAACTCCGTCTTCGGGCCTGTGCTCAACATACGTGAGTTGCCCTTCTGGAACTAGGGAAAACTTGTTCGACCGCACTCCCGGAGGTTTCTACTACTTCCCCTGGCGTAGCAGTAATGCACGAGTCCCAATGGGGCGATAAACAGAAACAACCGACGCCGACAAGCTTCAAGTATTGCAGCATGTACGCGTGGAAGTCTTCAGCAGGCTTCCAGTCTCTCGGTGCTCGTGAAGCGAGCACAAGTTATTGCGAGCCTGCGCGTCAAATATACCTTCGCGTACATGCTCCCCGTTCTTGAGGCTTGTCAGTGTCGGCTGTTTTAACGTGTCGTTCTAGTGGAACTCGGACGTAAGAATCAACGCATCCAGTAAAAAGGGCGACTGGCTGAGTGCGTTGTGCTCCAGTTGTCGGGCACCCTCAATGCCAGAAAAATGTTCTCCCCTTGTGCCACCGAGACCGTATGGCTATGCTACCGATCACCGTCCTCATTTCTCCAACTGACTGAGGAAATAACAATGGTTAGTGTTACTATAGTCTGTTGTAACATAAGATCGGGAGTAGGTGCTCTCAGAGCCTTTTATACTGGGAGAGTTCGGCGGTTCTTTGATCCAGCCGCCAGTCTGGCAGCCCTGATCAAACAGTCTGGCAACTGTGCGCATCCGCCATGATGTGCCCTGCCGTCTAGCTTGATTGCACCTTTGCAATTAATTGCATTATAATTATAACCTTAAATTGCAAGCTTCACCCTTGTTTGGTGTAAGGCTGGTGGCGGCTGATAAAACCCGTTTGCCCTTCTGACTCGAGCCGGCAGTCGGCTCGCTAGAGTCCATGGAGCGAGAGACGACGATGAAAATGATCGTTCTGCGCTGCGCTCTGCCAGACGTTAGATGAAAAAGAAATGGGGGGGCTGCAGTGCCGTTGGGTGCTCGAACAACGCGAAAAAGGGGTTCAGGATGTACCGGTTCCCGCAAGGAAAAGAAAACCGCGCAAGGCACAAGATCTGGGAAACCAAACCAAGAAGGGCTGACTGGAAGCCGAGTTCTCGATTGTGCGAGGTAAGGTTATGATTAGCGTATGATTAACGTAACAAAATGCTTGATTTTTCGACTTTCTCCTTACGCCAACAAGAGCGCAAACGGCAAAACCTACACGCGTATACATCGCATGTCAATGGGGACCCACTCGCCGAAAGGCACATCATGGCGGAAGCGGCGCCCGCTGAGTCCGCTAGACCTAGCGGGCCGTAAGCCCCTCCCACCCGCCGAACTCTCCCAGTATAAAAGGCTCTGGGTGCTCTCCCTCCTACATGCGCTCGTTGCCTTTCGGCGTGTTTTGCTTCACGTGCGCCAAAGTGTTACCGAAGGTAGAAAGCTCGCTCCGGAGGTGGAGCATCTGCTGTTGATCTTATGTTGCAACAGACTATATATAGTGCATCGCAGAGTAGTGTAGTACAGCACCAGCTTTGGGAGTGAAGCTTATGTTTGTTCAGTTTGTTTCTTAAAACTCCACTTTGCAGGAATATTTGTATGGGAAAACATTTGTTTTTTTTTCTAGACAGAGCTAATTAATTCATCATCAAAATGAAAGGCTCGCGACACAAGTTGTTTTGTTCCGTCATTTTGGGAAGGCTAAGAATTCGCCGTCAGGGAACGCAGCCGGGCGTATTGATGCAGAGCCGTTTATTCTGAGAGAGTTTGACCAATAGGCGGAGCTTTTTGCCCGCTAGATTTCCTGTATGGGGAGTATTCACCGGGCGGCCATATCCGTGTGCGCTGCTGCTGAGCGCGTGCTGACGGCGAGCTTCCGCAGTCCTTTTGGAGCGTGCATTTAGCACCAGCAAGGTTGCCGGTATAAGCAGGCTATTATTGTGAGCTCGTTCTGAGCATGCGCTCTAAACATCGCCCTCAAATATGGCGTCCAGTGAATACTTCCTATAGGCTCCCTACGGGAGCCAGAGTTGCGCGTTCGATTCCACGTGCTGCGTGCCGCCCTCGCCGCTATTCGCCGAGATCTGATCACGTGAGGAGCCGTATCAAGTGTCGTGCAGCAAAGTAGACGTTGCACGCGCCCCGGCGTATGTTCCCCGGCTTTTGAGCGCGCCGCGCGCCTCGAACGCGCGGCGCTGGTATTCGCCGAATTCAGTCACGTGAGGAGCTGTATCCACATGCCATGCAAGAACGCGCAACTCTGGCTCCCGTAGGGAGCCTATACAGGAACTCTAGCGAGAACCAGCGAATTTCGCGATAATATAAAATGGTGTTTCTTTGTCTTCTTTATTCCTAAGAAATCGTAAAGAGTTCCTATGTGTCAAAGCCCCAAAATGGCGGACAGAAGTAGTCATCCCCCGGTTGTCAGTATAAACGGCTTTGTACCGATGAAACCGGCTTCACTGCCGATCCGGTACAAGTCCATTCCGAATCGTTCTCTTTCATTAGCCATCTTGCTACCGGTTAACATTCTCGGTGTGCGAACACGATCCACCGATAGATGAAACTGCCTAATATCTTCGTCGTTGTCGGTTCTTTCCGCCCAAAGGCAACCTTGCGTGATTCGCGATCCTCCGTGGTCCGATGTGCTGTGTCCTAGTTGGGCTCTCCGCGGGACGGTATGCACTCCGACTGTGTTCCCTCTCGCGCAGAGGAGCGCTCACTCGGCCACAATTGGGCGCGTATCATGCGTGGCGTGCCGCGGTTTCATCGGACTTCCCAGTCGTGAACGAAAGCTGCATCACGCGGATGTGTAACCGAAGGGAAGCGCACGCGAGGAGCCTCGCATGCCACTTAGAGCCCGCTTTATCCGTGGCCCATGGTGGACGAAAACCCGTGATTAGGACATAATTCCTTTTTTGGCTACAGGATATTTGCATAGGCGCGCGTCTGACTCGCTTTCTTAGACGATGATATGCTTTTAGGTCAATCGTCGACCGTCGAAAATCTTGTTTGTGGAGTATTGCTTTCCTTATAGCCGCAGTCACGTGGCTCGTACAGAATACGAGTTCAAAAGAGTGTTCGCTCCATATCTGCGCTTTAATCATGTTAGCATGTTTGCTTCATACATGCTTCGAACATGTCTGCAGACCGTTTTTGCGGTACACACTGTATGAGCGTGCGTTAGCAATGATCTATTAGCAGTGTAATCTTTTGGTTTCTGTACACTCTAAAAAAACGCCCGTGCGTGTACATTCCGGCACAATACTCGGAGAGCCCATCACCATAACTTACGGAGGCAGCTCAGCGAATGACGATGCCGAAACACATGTTTAGGCCAAAAACGCAGTCTGAGTTGTGACACTGTTTTTTGGCCTAAACATATGCTTCGGCATCGTCTTTCCCTGAGCTGCCTCCGTAAGTTGCGGTGATTGGCTCTCCAAGTGTTGTGCGGGAAAGTAGATGCACGGACTTTTTTACAGTGGAGCTGTTAATGGCTAGGTTTCCCAGAATCGTGTCCGGTATCAAACACCTGTCGACACAAACCTACCTGGACAGCTACCGCCATCTTTAAGCGACGGCGGCAAGCCCACAACCAGTCTGTTTGCCGCCGTCGCTCGTAGATGGCGGCAACCTTTTCAGCTATCATAGAAGAATGGATAGTTGGGCGCGTTGGTGGGAATTCATCGCAGGAAACAGCGCAAAAAATTGACGACGACAGAGGAGAAGCACACGTAACGAGCGCAGTGCTCGTCACGTGTGTTTCTTCGTCCTCGTCTGTTTAGCGCGCTGTTTCCTACGATCTTATCAGTTTCGGTTTGGACTTCGGATTAGGGTGCCTCAATGTGCGTCTGTCACAGGGTGAAGACACCCACTGTTGTATTGAAAACTGCCTGCGCGTGCCAAATGGGCCTTAAAATGGCGCCAAAGCACCGGGCAGGGCTAAGCGCTCGCTCCGAACGAGATCGAAGCGCGTGCATTCTGGGCATAGAAATGGCCGAGATGCCGCCACCCTAAGACAGACGTTGCGGAAGTGTATGAAGGCACCCTACTTAGGATGGGTCGGCCGCGCGCCCTTTCGGGGAAGAAGACTGGCTGCGGAAGGAGGGTTGACGTACGCAGCAGCGCGAATGGGTCCGCAACCGCCGCAAAGCCGCTGTCGCCTCGACTTCCACTGCGTCGAGCGCTTCAGAGTCCCTTGCCAAAGAAGAGCACATCGCTCGCCTGGAAAGTCTCTGCCGAGAACAGAACCAGCGATGTAAAGGGCGCCGCCGGCGCCCTTACATCGCAAGCGCAAACGCAAACGCAAGGCTTACATCGCCCTTACATCGCAAACGCAAGCGCGAGGCCCGGTGACGACTGCACTCCACGCCTGCTGAACAGTTCCCGGGCGCGACGGCGAGGTTCCGGAGGGTAAATTACCCGTTTGGCGCCACGTGCGCTGTGTGTGACTGACTGTGGTTCGCCGTAGACGTACCCACCATCGACGGCGTGTCGGACGAGAAGAAGCGGGAAACGGGCGCGTGCGCGTTGCGGCTGTGTATCGAGTACAGTTCCGCTGGTCTTCCTTCTTCACGAGAGTGGAAAGGCTGAACATTATAGAGTGAAACTATGTTCACGGACACCGGCTGGATTACATGTTAAGCCTGATTCACACGGTGGGAATTTTCTTGCTATTTCCCAGCTGCGGCGCGTTGAATACCTTAGCCTGTACCACGCTCTCTGTGTTGCACGAGCGACGTCGCGCAACTGCCAAGTCGCGAGACAAATCGCAGCATGTGAGTCGGACGGCACCAAGCGGCAAGTCGCGTTTGTGGCCTGACCGCCATATTTGGGATATTTACGACGGGTGTATTTGCAACCCTCGATAATCTTCGAATTACATTCAACCATGTAGATATTCGGATTTCGCATTACTCAAACCGGTTACTTTTTTAAAATTAGAGTTACATCTGAAAAGTGCGCTTAGAAACTATACATTGACTGTAGTCTCGACATGAACACCGCGCATTGCCGCGCCCCGAGATCTGCCGTGAGCCAACTGCTGAATCCAAACGGGCCTGTGCCAATATTTATTCCGCATTCGGAAAGTAAGCCATTGGTCGC